TTAGTATAACTTATATTTTCATTACAATAAATTTTAGAAGTTGATAAAAAAGACATTTGTGCATCCAAAGCATGTTTTGGGATAATAATTTAGTCATTAGAAATGAATTTTTTTTTAAAAAAATGTATGCTAAATAAATATATATAAAACTTTATATGTTATAATATTAGTTGATATACATACGTCATCAGAAGTAATGTTAAAGAAATCATCGATTTCTTTTTTTTTTTTTGATCTGCAAATTTCACATTTTTTTGCAAACCGCAATAAAGCAATAATCGATTTCAATCAAAGCGATTCTAATCGATTTTAATTAGCAGCTTAGTTGTCAATCGATTCTAATCAGTATCGCTGGTAATCGGCAGGGGCGCTGCTTATCGTTTCTGTCAATCGATGCCAACCAATTTAAAAATTTCCTGATGATATATATTGTTTGAACGGGATTGGACACAGTTAAGCACGAGGAAAAATAGGATTTAGTAAATGAGATATTTAGGCAATTCGCCAGAAGCGTGATGGGATGATTTGACATGGAGTTTTAAAGAATTCAGAGGCTTTATTAATTTAATATTAACCGAAGGTTCATATTTCTTGCTACAGCAAAAATTACAGCATAATTTTATAGCTTTTACTGTTCTAAGGGACGTATGAGGCTTTGGGTCAGTTATTTCATTTTTTTTTACATCAGATCCTTAAGATTTTAAGAATATCCTTGTTATTTCAGTATTTTAGTTGCAATAAACTATAACCACTAATAATTACGTTCTCTTTATTTAACCCAGCCTTCTTACACGCGTAATCGTTCTTCGGATTTTTGGGATTTGCATTTGATTACTTGAAATGTATTTGATTTGCTTCGTATGTCAAAACAAATATTCGTAGCTTCAGCGCTCTTCTTTTTCGATCACGAGGATTTACAATTTTATGATATTTGAATTCGGATAATTTATTATTTACCCCGCGACAATATCTATACACTTTGAATTCACAAAATATTGAAGGAGAGGACATGTAGGGATGGACAAGTCCGGTTCAGTCCGTCCAGTCCTAAAAAGACCGGTCTATTAATTTTTTCAGTCCAGTCTCGGTCCCAATAACGGTCCTTAATTATTTAATCTTATTGGCTAGCGGAGAAAATCAAATCATATGACGTCGGTAATTGAAAATAAAAGATTATGTAACATATTTTTTAATTAGTTATTTGAATTATTCATGAGGACCGGTCCAGACTGGTCTCAGGACCGAGGACCAGTTAACCATAAGACTGGTTAAAAGACCGGTCCTTATTCGGTCTTTTCAGGACTGATCCATCCCTAAGGACATGCCATAATATTCTGTACTTTAAAATGTCGCAATTAAAAGCAGTTCATACTAGTGAGATTTATTACGAGGAATTAAAGGATTTTAAAATTTGTAGAATAGATATAAAATCTATTGTATATTCAGAAATAGCTTATCGCTTGCAATTATTAATTTTAATTTACACATTTTTAGGATGAACGTTAATAAAGTGAAATATTTTTAATCTTTTTTAAAAGTTAGTTTATACCCAACTTAAACTGGTTGATTCGGCATAAAAAAAAATATTTAAATTAATCATATCAATATTATTAATCTTTGTTCATTGATTAAAATTACAGTACGCTCTTCCTTGACCGTAACACTGGCCAAAATAAGCACCTGAAATTATTACAAACTTATTCAATATACATACTAAGTAATTTTTTTTTTGCATTAAATATTCTGTTAATGTGCATTAATTATAAAGATTTATTTATTTTTTTTATTTTTATTTTTTTTTTTTGAGGGCGAACTCATTTGTTCGAAGTTTATTAAGTATTATATAATTCATTACAACGTAATTTCAGTATATAATTTTTTAATTTTACTTCTATAAACATTAGTACTATATCCTCGAGTCAAGCTCTACCCAAATATGTACCCCGTAAGTACTTAATCAGGATTTATGCTACAGAACCTATTTTATTTTACCTAGTCCTACATCCTCCGCATCTCTCATGCTGGTCTTAATAACTCCCAGACAGGTGACCGGAGATCGTCCGTAGCATTCGTAATTCTTTGTTCAAATTACTTCCTGTTTGGTGTTGGAGGAGACGCCAAATTCCCTATTCATATGGGCCAATATGCGACACTATGCAGAAAAGGGAACCCCAAAAATTTTTAATACACGTAGTGGGACAAGTTATTTGACAATACAATTACCTGTAAGACTGAGGCGGAAGGTTTATTTTGAACATTTATTCATAATAATACTGTAATAACAAAGTCAAACAACATGTCTTAATAATAATTAGACGATAATCTAATGGGGTTGATGCAAGTTCGTTATATCCTTACTGCATAATAGTGCAGAATAACCCTCAATAAATCAAAACAACCACCCTAATAATTCACCAAACCAATCAAAAAAAAAACCCCCAAATAAGAGGTTTGTACACTGAACTAAATTTAGTGACACTATTCAGGGCCCAATTGTCGCCGATTAGCCCATATATACCAAGTAATCCTGTATCTGAACTGCTAAATTATAAAGATTACGAATTCATCAAATAATTTATTACATTCTTCGTTTTCTGTCAAAAATACAAATCACATTTAATAACAGTATATCGATATTTACGAATAATGTAATACAAAATAATACGGTGCAACCCTGCTATTAACAAGTGGTGTTTTGTATTTAAATACGGAGAGACGGGGAACTATATCCGTGTTTCAACATGATTCAACTTCTTCCTAATGAATTGCAAATTCAAATTTTGACGAATGTTATTACAAAAACAAAGTAAGTTTAAAAATAATTGAATAGGATATTTTCATGAAAATTTGCTAATTTTAGTGATCTTAAATAATAGTTTTGAATTTTTTTGTACTCTTCGGACTGTTTGTAAAAAATGGAATGCATTCGTTCCTTTAATAATGCACGAATTCGTTATTTCCAGATTAAACTCTGGTTTAAAATTTGAGGTAAATCAATTATTTAAATATCAAATCATTATAATAAATTCTATAGGTAATAACCGACTTTAATTTAGTTAACGGACTGGAATGAGACCAAGTGGTCAAGAGAATTGCTACCATCATATGACGATCAAACTAAGACCTTTAATTTCCTATTTAATAATGCTACTTACAGCAGCAAGTCTGTTTATTATAGAGAACAGGATGGTTATAAAAATAAATCACTTTTTTATAGAAGATTTAATAAACGTAAAAATAAGATTGATTTTATAGCACTCGTAGAAAAGACTGAGAATTTTTTCAACTCAATTAAACTTGGAGCTAAATTTGGTAGTTTAACATGGCCTGAATTCGTAGACAATGATATGTATAAATATGAATTCGATAATCAAAGTAACGTGTGTTTCGAACGGGTGATTGAGAATAAAAACGATAGTTATTTGAAGCTTTATAGTTTTACCATTGCGGCTTGGAAACTTTATTATATTCTAGATTGTCTTCAAGTTAATGGGTATGTTTTTTATATATGCACGTATACGAATTTATTTAAGTTTTAGCTTTGTAATAATAAATTCTTTTAATTTTACAATACAGTCGACTTAAGAAATTAAGAAAAGGATTTCAATATTTTAATGAGGATCATGGCTTAGATATGCGTCCTTTTTTAGTAGATTAGCAACGTGAAAGTATTTTTTATATTGTTACTAGAGGATTTAATTCCTCTCTTATAATACAATTATATATTTACAAATTGGTAGTTATATTTTTTAAGAGATTAACTTTCAAATAGAACTTCAATACTTTGTTTTTTTAAAAATATAAAACTACCGGTCTTTTATAAACCCTCTGGCTTTAATTTCCTATAGCGAAGCAAACGTACTATATAGTTAATTATAAAGCTTTGTTATTATAAACTATTTACCAAATTGCAAGAAATCCTTTATATATTTTCTTGAGAATGCAGTTAAGTTCTTTTTAAGGCTGTGTGGACTTGATATGGATGGCATGAAGTCTCTATTTCTTAGAGACATAAAGTGCATAAAATTATCAACAATCCCATTTAATAAAATAGAGTTTTCCGATTTTTTAATAGTTCTTATTTATAAAATAAGCCAAAAGTCAATAAAGAGTCTAACAGTGTTAAAAAAAACTTCACAAGACAAATTTATCTACAGTATAACCTCGTTATAACGAAACTCGATATAACGAACACTAATTGTATAAGAAGGTTATTTCTAATTTTTATGTTTAAATTAGCCCCGATATAGTTCTGATATAACGAAGCAAAACCTTCAGATCCAGAGTCGAGGTTATTCTGTATTAAGCCTCCCCTATTGTTATTCTTAAAATTGACAACAAGTGAAGTTACGTAATTAGGCCATACAAACTTATACTATTGGTTTTCATATCACCAAGTAACTTCTTGTGACCCGGCAACCCGGCTTTTAA